TCGGGGCGGGGCGGGGGAGGGTGGCAGTGAGTGTTGACCACAGGGTGGTGACCACCTGTAGGCGCTGGCGGCGGCCAGGGGCAATCGTGGACTGCCTGCAGGGGGTGCCTTTTTACAGGGGGTTTACCCATGTGCAGCCCCTATGCGTCACCCATGCTTTGAGAACCAGCTAATGGCATCACCAGTGCAGAAAGACATGCATCGTATTTGTCAACGGCACCAAAAGCCAGGGTGCAGGGGTGCACACATTTACTGTGTGGAAAGCAAATCAAGGTGGTAATATTACAGGTGGAAACACATTGCCAAAGAATGAACTACGTGTCAGATCGTAACTGGATGGTTATGCTTGCTTATATTGCAAGATAAAAGACCCACTCAGTATTTAATCCTTTCATGTAGCATTGTAGAGAGGCCCTCAAATATGACATCTCTGGAAAACCCCTAGGAGTAGGCTTTTCTCAACACTTTGCTCATACTTCAGAACTGTTATTCAAAAGAGATGGATTACCAGTAGGTTTCTCAAAGCCATCTCTGTTCACCACTGTGCACTGCTGTCACTTTTCAGTGCACCTCTCTAACAGATACCACTCATCTTCACTCCAGGCAGACACAAGAACATTTAACACTCAGAAACCTTTTGCAACACCTCCAGTGCTGGTAGAAAATAGTCTGAGGTATGGGATTGCTACAGGAGAGAGATGGTGTTGCAATGCTTTAGGACAGAGGGGACAGAATGAAGATAGACAACACTGGATGATATCACTCAGCAAGCAAGCCATGAGAGAAAGGAAGAAAATGCTGCAGGGTAGCATGTGACACCTCTAGCTGGCATTATATCCCCTACCATCCGCTGATGTGGGAGTCTGCACCACGCTCGTCTGTTGCCCTGGCACTGGTGCTCTGGCACTGCTGATCAAGAGATCAAATTTGGTGCTTCGGCAGGTGTTGGTGCAAACCTTGTCATGCTGATAGAAGTCAATTTGCCCACAGTCCATCATCTTCCTGTACAGGAAATAGGGAGAGGACCATACAATGAGTTTGGCTTGGATCTCAGCCTGAAGAAACTGACAGGTTCAGGCATGGCTGTAACAGTGGGGAGAAAAGGGAAGAAGAGGAAACCCATTTCTTCTCCCCATGTAGTACACCCCCTTCCTCCAAAGAGATCTGAAGTAAGAAACAATGACCATCAGGTCTCTACACCCCAAATTGTGTAAAGTTCTGGCACTGGGACCACCCCCCTGTTCTGACTCAAATAGCCTGCTGCACTCCCACAGCCACATTTGTATCTTCACCATGCTACCTCTGGGACACAGGGTGAATTCCTGGCCACAGTGGCAAAACATGATTTTGTGCTGAATGTCCTGCAACCTGTTGGTTCAGTAACAGGAATGGTATGATTTTGTCTTGGTAAGAAATGTAAATGGAAAACACTGAAGATACAGAGGCAAGTGAAATTCCATCCCAGGATTCTACTGCTGCGGTGAGAAAGCTGGTGGATGGTCAGTACCTCAACATGATTCCTCCAAGGCGAATGGCTCTCTTCCAGTCCTTCAGGGTGGACTTGCCAGCCAGGTGAACAAAGTGCTTAGGGCTGATCAGCTGGTCATTGAACTAACAGATAGACAAGTACAGAGAAGTTAGCTAGCCAGAGGGAAAGAAGGAAGGATCAGAAACCAGGAGAGAACAATCTCTCTTGAGTGTGACATTCGGCCATTCTACAAACAGACCACTGCTCACTTAACTTAATCCACAATCTTGTCTCCAACAGATATTTCTGCTGAAGGCAATGTCCTAGCCCACCCTTCCATTATTGGATTTGGCCAACCATGCTATATTGGGAGTGACCACGGAGGTGTTCCTTTTGATCTCCTCCCAGGAGATCACTCTTCTCTGTACATGAGTTGACTCCACCACAGAACACAATTCAATACATTCACAGGGACTATTTGTGACTTGGCAACCAGCGGACCATTCAGATGAGCCTCTTAATCCTAACACTTTTTCATGTTCTGGATACAGCTTTATCACCTACAAACCAAATTTAAGGCTACCATAAGTTGGTACCTTTGAAATCAGTGGCACTTACTCCCTAAACCAGCCCTTTGCAATGAATGGCTTTCCATGTCCATGTGACATGCATGTTACCTTTGGAGGCTGCCCTCTATTTTACCTCCCAGAAATAATTAAGATATGCCCTCCTATAGCTCTGGAGGAAAATCATCAAGCCACAAAGAGCACATCAGCTAGAGGAATCAAGGAGCTCTGCATTTGGCATTTCTGACTTGCAGAGCTTCCTAGAACATACAGAAGAGTGTACTAGCATTAAACTCAGCAGCAATAGCATTGAGGGACCCGCCAGAGTGATCTCTTTTTGCCTGACAGCAGGGTGTGCCAGTAAAAGTGATCTCAGTACCCAGGAGGAAGAAGGGGGCATACACATCTTCAAGACTATTCTCAATAACAGTGCTTCAAGGTAACAAGAGGGACAAAAAAAGGTAGGACATTCAACAGGAAACAAGGCAGACAGGGTGGGTGAAAACCCTCCTGATGCCACTGTTTCTATTGTTGACATTGCCTCTCCCAGTGAGCAAACTGACCAAAATGGTCATGTTGCCAGTTCCAAATAACCTCCAGTGCATTGACCCAGGCAAAATGGAGGCAGTGAGAAAAATTCATTGGGAAGAAGAGGTTGGCCTACCACACTCGTAGCCTCAGAGCACTGAGGTGATCCAGCAAAGAAATTATGCCCCGTTATAGCAGACAAGTTACCTTAACACACTTGACATTAATTCCGGGACAGACAAACTTCTTCCAAAGGAGGATGGCTTTGCTCTCACCACAGGTGATGGGATAAGCAATCTCAATTTCCTCATTGGTTTCAATGGTGCTCGGGTCTGCAGGCAAAAGCAGGGATAAAATTAAACTCTTTTTTTTTTTTGAACTTTGACTCCCAAAGGCAGATATGCAGGGCACAAGCTGAGGAACGTTCCTCTTAATGTGCAACAAAGGCTCCATTCTCTCACAGCAGGTGACTTCCCTCTAAACAAAAGCTTATGTAAAAGCAGAATCTGCAATGAGTTCTAGTAGAATCAATCAGCGCTGTCCATCAAGAAGTCATGAAGGGGCAACGAGTAGAACACAACCCCGTGTTCCAGACCTCAATAATCTGTTCCCTCTAGATACATACAGAAAACAGAAAACTAGCATTAAGATCTGTCCTGCAATTGGGAGGGGAAAACTTCCCCATATATTGTGTCCCCCTGCTATGTCAAGGATCATAAAGCCAGCCTGCTCAGCTCCTACTGATAATCACCCCACATCCATCACAGGTGTCAATTCATACAGAGAAATGTGCCAAGTCTTTGAGACTGACTAGCACGAATATTCACTTACTAATAAGATTCCCCCATAGTGTGTGAATATTGACATCTGTACACCAAGGCTAGACCCCACCAGAGTGAAATCCTGGTTCCACTGAGGTCAATGGGAATCTTGCTATTGACTTCAATGTGGCCAGTAATTCATCCCCAGAATCATGCATTCAAGTGGCAACTATGGCATCCATTATCCCTATGGGCACACTCGAAGACACTGCACAACACAGCCCTGACAACCCCAGAGGGACAGAGTTCCCAGCTGTGAACCTCAGCTGTGAGGACCCCAGTGGCGTAAAGATGCAAGCCCAATTTCCTGTAACTCTGAAGGATTCCACACAGAAAACAACTTACCAATCCCTTCCTCAAGTTTGTGGATGGTGTGTGTTTCTACAGCTACTACAGCAGCGCTGGTCTCAGAGCCCTCTTCATAAATCCTGTTGTAAAAGTGTCCATCGATAAACAAACTATATAAATCACGGAGAAATTAAGATTCATAGCACAGGGTTAAAAAAAATCAGTTCATTTTTCCTTGCCTGTCCCTTAGGGACAAAATCTTGCTTTCATATCCCCCCTCTTTCATATACCCCCCCCCCCCCCGCAACTGCTCCCACCACCCAGAATCATATATAAAATGTAAGCAGCATTGAAACACGCCTGGATGCTACTCTACTCCAGACCCTTAATACTAGTCCAGCAGTGAACCTGTAAATTCTCGGCTTTAGATTTACAATACAGCTTCCCTTACAACCTCAGATACACATATGTAGCATATCACTGCATACTTGCCCTTCATGAACACAGGAAGCATCTGTCATTATCCATATGTTATCCAGCTGAGTTACTGTTTCTGTGCGAACTGGCCAACCTCCCCTTTTATGCATGTAAACACCCTCAATGGATTGCTTTCTTTAATTATTTTTTGTAATATAGATCTTGCTTAGAAAGCAAATAACTTGAAATAAATTGTCACAGAATGGACAACAAAACATTGCCATTAATTGTAGCAGTCAAAATGTAGCACCATGGCTTTTTTCACAATAGGATACATCCAAGCAGATGTACAGATATATTACTATATGGGAGTGGGAATTTTTAAAAATAACACCTAGAGAAATGGATTAATTAGCAGAATGCAAAAGTAAACTGGATCAAGGGGCAGGATAAATACAGTTTTTCATGTGGATTATGCATCTATATTCAGTTCACTCTTATATTCCGTCTCTCTGAATATTGTAGTTTAATATTCCAACCCTGCACGTTATGTGGTAGAATCCACCATATAGGTGGTGATATCAGTGCAATAATATTATACATGTAGCTACATCCTCACCTATGTAAAAGATACCATCAAAAATTATTCTAGTCAAGCGTCTCACATTAGATCTTAAACTCACTATATTATTATTTTGGAATTCTATTTTAAGTCACTGCTACAGGTTTCATATTGTACTCAGTCTAATTTCTCCCTTCCTTTGTGGCTTTCAGAACAATACTAATAAAAGTGTAACCGTTCCAGAACTGCAGTTACAGCAAGTCCCCATGAGAACTGCAGTTTAAAAAACAAGCTCCAAACTGCACATTGCAAACCCACCCCTTTTTGCCCTTGTACGTATGTGCACATAGACACGTACATGTCCCTTTTAGAATGTGCAAAGTTACATGGCGCACTTACCCTTGCTGCACGGGCTGAAGCTGCAGTATCACTTGCGTTTTGGTATCTTCTGGGTTCTGCCCTCCATTTCCTTCACTTGGCACGACCACCACGTCCCCAACAGGGACGCTCACTTCGGCATTTGCCATCTCTCACATGAAGTCGACGGGTTGAGTCGAGCTGTAAACAGGCAAGCAAAGGGGCTATTTATCCTGGTCTCATAGGAACCATCTCTGGAATATTGTTGTGGTTGTGATGGTCCAGGAAATACGTCAGAAGCAAGAAGTTTAGTTTTTGGTTTTTTTGTTTGGCAAGATCTTTGATTAGACCAGCTGTATGGATGGGAGAGATATGAAATTGTCCTTCCTCAGGTAGCACCAGAAAAGAACTAAAACCTCCAAACTTGCTGTTTGTACCATCTCAGGTGCCAGAATGCAAGAGCAACAATTTCTGGGTTTATTGCCAATCATCCCAAAGCTATTAACATTTGACTAGACTAGCACAAGCTGAGAGGCACAGTCTCAATCTGAAGGTGAATGAAGGGAAGAACTAGTTACCACAGGAAGAGTAGGGATATTGGGCTTTTGCTGAAGGAAATAAGCAGACTGCAGAGAACAACTTCCATCTTACCAATCAAGTTTTGGGAATGTTTAATCTGGAATCACAAAGATACAGTAAAACACACTGAACCATACATACAGCAGATGAAACACAAAATGAAACTGCCTGTAGTGTCTGGTTTCTGGACCAGTCATTGCAAAAAACTTGCCAGCTAGGTCAGAGTTAGTGTACACAGGTTGAGTTTTGGCGACAGATGCAGGAGTGCAGAGAAAGTGGGTTTTAAGATGACGTCACTTTATTTTCCCCTAGTTGCAAGATTCCTAACAGGTATTCTGATGATATTGTCTTTTCCTATCAGTAAAATACTTGGCCCAGACCATTTCTGCTGCATGTAAGTAGTAGCATAGGCCTTCATAGAAAAAACTGATAAAGGAAAGTGTTTTGCTGAAAACACCTTTGGTATTGGCTGCGCTTGACTGGAATTTTCTCCAGGGCTCACACGGAAAAATATAAACATAATTTGATTAGCAAAGGAACCGATTTTGTTTCATTATCCTTGCCTTATGGAGAGAGGAAAACAAATTACATCGTGTATATCGTGGTCCAGGCTTTAATTCAATCTTCCACAAATTTGTCCCAGTCTGGTTGGCTTTCCCCCTGGTCTTCTACAGTCTTATCATGCATGACCTAAGAGTCTTCTCCTTTGCAAGCACTGACACGTGGAACAGCTTCCACAAAGGCCTCAACATCATTAACTCTCCCCAGGAACGATGCAGCTGGAGAGACCCATGCTGACATTAATGGATTGCTGGAGGCAGGGTTTTTTCGGTGACAGATCTCCAGCTGCGGCATTTCTTGCTAGGAGAGAGTAAGCCAAGACTAAGCCAAATCCGTTTAGGCCCATATGTAATGCACAACTGAAAAAACATATACCCCTGCTTCAAAAAAACAGATTAGTCATTTCAAATTGATACAGTGTCTTTGGATCAATATAACCTGACTACAAATCTGCAGGTGGCCACCAACTAGTGGCCCACCATGGTGGGGCCTGTCAAGATGCTCAACACAGACCTGCTCAAAAATGCATCAGTATCTAATCAGCCCCAGCTGTGAGGGCCTTATGGCTAAGGGCAAGCAAAACTTGGGGACATCTGAACCGCAAGCCTCTGGGCTTGGGCCTGCAAGTAGGATGCCCGCCAAAGGTTTTGGAAACATCTGAAGCCCCAGCTGTGGGTGGAGGATGTTTGCTGGTAGTAGGGCCACTTATGGTTCTGGACTCTTGGATTTGGAATTAGTTTTGGGGTAATTTGGCCTTGGATACAAATTAAAAAAAAAATTTAATCAGCCCCAGGTTGGTCCTCTTTTGCTGTCAAGCTTTTTGTTGTCTCGGTGGGTCTTATATGTGTCTAGGGGAGATGAAGCCTGAAAGATCTTGTATGAGGGAATTCCAGCTTTATGGTTTATCAAAGTCTCTAGGACAGGGGTGGCCAACCTGCGGCTCCGGAGCCACAGGCGGCTCCTTAAATCTTTGCATAAGCGCACGACGTGACGTGACGTGACGTGACGTGACGTGACGGCTCTGGGAGCTGGGCACCGCGTGCCTGTGCAAAGATTCGAGGAGACACATACTAACTTCTGAAGAGCCGCAGGTGGCTCTGGAGCTGCAGACTGGCCACCCCTGCCCTAGGATCAGACCCAACCAGGAAGAGCCATCCTTTCGAGGACACATCTTGGGTAAGGTCTCCCGATGCATCCAAATTCACTTGCTCTGGCAACTGGCAGAAGTACACCTGCATTGCCTGCTCAGCACCGGAAGAGCCTGAGGATCAGCATCATCCGAAGACAGGGATTTTTATGTGACCACGACATACGCAGATTCGGTCCCAGGGGGATGCGACAGCTCGGTTCACCTACGGCACGTCCGAGTCCGTATTCTCCCAATCGCCACGTTCGGAAGCTTTTCGGGCCGGCTGACGAAACTCAGCAGAACCCGCTCCCATCGTCTCACAAGCTGCTCTCCCGCCTCGCTGCGCAGAAGTGAAAACGCCTCATGCGCCTTCACCTCTCCGCGCGCAAACCCGCCATGTTCACCTTCCCCTAATCCCGCTGGGGAGGGCGTCCCTTGGACTCCCGGCGGTCTGACGGACATGCTCCTAAACTCATCCCCGTGCAGAGGGAGTCAGTGGCTCCTTCCCCTGGTGTTAGCAACCCTTTGCTTCTCCTCTGTGGTCTGGGTGCCTCCCAGCCCAGCACCTCTGTGCTCTGCCCGGCTCCTGCACCCAGCCCATGCCCAGGCTGGTGACCTGCGGGCTTGGGCAGGGCCCCGCTGCCCCTCATGGCACCCCCCGCAGGCAGTGGGGGCGGGGCGCCGAGGGAATGGGGGACACCGCCCCCCCGCGGCGC